TGCAAAAAAACTCAACATCTGCATGACTGATCTTTTCATAAACCTTGCCTCGCCAGTGACATCATGCACCCCCCCCCCCCCCCCCCGGCATGAAGACCCTCCCTTCTGATTGTGCTATGCTAACAGCCTCGAACCCACGTCAGGCTTTGGCTGGCACCCTTCTGAGGAGATGAAAACCAAACGGAACGAGCCGTTGGTGTGTCAGCCATAACCTCAAGCTCTCCTCCTGGCAATATGTCCAGGTCTGAAATCCAACTTTCCTACTTTCTCATGACAGAAAGGAAAGAATGAAAAAATAACAACTATTTCTCTTAACACAGCGTGACGCGTCCAAAGGAAAATATTGGCCGACGTGACGCTGAAGATTACAACAGCTCTGCTGTTTTTCATACTTTACCCAGCAACACAAAGCACCTTCAGACGCGCTCTGATCCCCGTCGCGCTCTGCTGACAGTTAAACTAATTGAAGACTTTGCTGAAAAACGGTCAAAAACCTGAGCTTAGTCTTATCAAGTGTGTCAGCACATACAGGAAGATTTGAATTTATCGCCTTTGAAAGCCCTGGTAAGTTTTAAGAACATATTTGTGTGATGCAATAAATATATTCTGTGAAAATGCTTTGAGACCTTTAACATGCACACTGTTTAGTCAAATCAAACATAATTAAAATGTTTCTTAAGGCTCATGTGAAGACGGGGTGACTGCTTTTCTTCGCAGACGCCACTATCCCCTGTAATCCTGAATTCCATAAACCCTAAATTATTATGGTTATAAATGCTGCCGTCTGGGGAGTGTTACCCTTTCTTAGTGCCCTCCAGTGTCAAACCAGCACACATCCCGGACAGACGATGCCCGGTCACTTGCCACCTCGCGGCTGCCGACCCCCCGGCCCCTGACACACGCACAAAGGGCTACGTGCCCCCTCCCCACTCCCCGACGGCCCAATCCAAAAGCGTATGAGGGGTGGGGTGTGTACATTGCCCCTCCTTCAAAAGCAAAATAAAATAATACATCAAGGTAAAAAAAAATATGCTTTGCTGCTGACTGATTCCTACTGTCAGGCACGCGAGTCATATCTCCCGCACTGTTGTGAATCGGCCTCCCCCCGTCAGTCAGTGGGTTGCTCCGTTAAGGAGCGCCTTTCCATTTGTCGATTTAAATTTGGAAGACTTTTCCGTCTGTATGTCCGCCATGCGATCTGCCGTCGGTCTCACCTGTCTGCCTCAATGAAGATCCGAAATCTTGCAGAGGGCACAAATGCCACCCACCCCCCGAGTGAACTGCCACGACCTAAGCCAAACTAAGCAACTCAGTTTGGCTGCCTTTTTATACCTGAAATTTTTACGTAAACTGTGCGATTAACATTTAAAGCTACCCAAGAAGGTCATGCCATCGACCTTCCTGCACAACATTGCCAAAAGTTTGTTACTAGAGGCTGAGATTATGTCTACAGAAAGACTCGATCCACAGGCCAAAATAATGATGAGTGTTTCACATTTTCATTATTAGGGTGATATCTTTGCACTAGCAGCAGGGTAAAGATTCAGGGCAGCAGAATTCCCAGCAATATCTGAATCAGCATCACAGGGCTCCCTGCTGGCCAGGTACAGCTGGAAGTACTAGGAACTTGTTTTGGCAGCATTACACTCACAGACACCACAGACGAACAAAGAACATAAATGAAGAAAAACATAAGTAGAAATAAAATAATAAATGAATAAAATAGAGCAGAGCTGCATGATATGCTAACAAGAATTATAAGAACAGTAAAGGGAACAGAGGTATATTGAATATTGGAATATAAAAGTATGACAATATATGACGTCCAGCAGGTGAAAAAGATGAAAAAGATGGGTTTAGAGTGAGTGGGGGGTGGCAGAGGCAGGGACTGTATCAGCGGGGGTCAGGGGGCTTGTTGATGAGTTCAGCTCCTGAAGGGAATAAGCTGTTTTTGAGGAGTGTGGTGCTGGTATTGACAGACACGAGTGTTTTGCCAGAGGGCAGCTTTTTTGAACAGTCCATGTCCAGGATGGGAGGAATCGGCCACAATCTTTGCTGCGCGCGTCAGAGGTCTGCAGGCGTGTAGGTCCTGTAGGGATGGCGGATTGCAGCCAATCACTTTCTCTGCAGAGCGGATGATAGGCTGCAGTCTGTCCTGGTCCTGGGCAGTGGCAGCGTACCAGACGGCGGTGGAGCAGGTGAGGATGGACTCAGTAATGGCTGTGTGAAAGTGCACCATCATTGGCAGACTGAACTTCTTCTGCTGCCGTCCTGGGAGGTGAGGATGCTCAGGAAATGGAAGGACTCCACTTTGTTAACCGGCGATTCATGGAGAGTGATGGGGGTGGGGCGTGTTACACCTGAAGTCCGCTACCATCTCCGCTGCCTTTAGAGCAGGGTTTCTCAACCCGGTCCTTGGGGACCACCAGACGGTCCATGTTTTTGCTTTCTCCCAATTCCCTGCCAATTGGGAGAGAGCAAAAACGTGGACCGTCTGGTGGTCCCCGAGGACTGGGTTGAGAAACCTTGCTTTAGAGCTTTGAGCTTCAGATTACTCTGGCTGCAGAAGTTCCCTCCTACAGATGGATTCATCCCCACCATCTCTAAGTGTGAGGGAGAGGATCTACTCTACTGACATCGGGAATTTCAAAGGGCCGTCTCACTGCGTGCTCACAGTGAGGAGGACAGTGTCGGGGCGACCACAATTCATCTAACACGCCTGGGGAGAAGCTCGCCTGTGACAGAAAGACATTCCAGACTCGCCAGCAGATTCTAAATAATTTGAGAGATTTTGTAACCGAGGTGCGCAGAATTCCCTCAGTTTTGCGAGGACCAGGTCCTGCGATAGAGGGGAGGAGTTTAACCCTCAGAAAGGCCCAGTTCAAACCTTAGGCCACTGTTTGACAGGGGCAAGAGGAATGTGGGGAGTGGGCTATTAAAGCAGCTCTCGCCTGCTATCCACTGCTGCACATTTGGCTAACCCCCACATGCCCCCTAGCCTCGCTTTTAAGAGCTTAACTAGTTCCTGGATGGGGGTGGGGGGGACCACACATACGACTCCCATTAAATTGATCTTTTCTTTCCAAGCACTTAAGCAAGCCAAGGGCAGAGGGTGGGGCACGGGCGTGCTGCGGAGGGGTGTGTGGAATCCACCCCGCTTGTCATCTCCGGATCTCTTCTCCAAGCTAAATGAGATCCTAAATAATAAGTGCATTATCCAGGCGGCCAGCGGGGAAGGCCGAGAAACACGGAGTCCGTGTCACCGTCCCTCCCCGCGCCGGTGGGGATCCCCCGCCATTCACACCCACCCTCCACCAGAGACCGGACCTCTCGCTCGGGCAGGCCTTCTGGTTCCGATTAAGCGAGCGGAGTCGTTTGTCGACAGCCCAGGCATCTGGACTGGCGCTCGCTTTCTGGAAATCGTAACGTTTTATCAGTCGCCTTTCCGTCGGGACATTCCGAGTCAACAAATCCAGGGGGGTGGAACGATCGCTCCTTCCTCCCCTGATGGGACAGCAAGAAGACAGATTACTTGTTAGCCTGAAAAAAGGGTATATGCTTGGGGAGTTTGGCATCCTGCGGCAACTGGAGCGAGCTGACCTAAAATCATCTGCCGCAGAGTCAGATTTACTCCTTCTCTACGGATAATCCCTTCCCTACCCACCCAGGACGTCCTGCCTGTACAATGTGAGGACCGTAAGGAAAGGGGAGGGAATCACCCCCCCGCTGCTGTGGCTCAAACCCGGGTCTGCAGCTCATCACATGACTGCCAACCCCAGAGAATAATTCATCCGAAAGGTCTGTTTCTATCCGGCAAACCCCTATTGCAGAAGTGGCCAAGTTTTCCTGGGCCCACCCCAAGCTGGACTGGGGGGGGGGATTCAGCGGGTCAGGGGGACAGGGGGGCGGGTTTGCAGATCCAATTTCATTTTGATCCCACTCAAATATTTTCGAAAGAAAAACAAGGCAAGGAGAGCGATTTTTGTGGCCGCGGCGATGGCTGCGGTGGCCCCCGTGCCGAGCCGCTGCGCCAGGCCCCCCCCACAATGAACCCTCTGTGTCTCCGAGCTCCCACCCGTTTCCATAGTCTTTAATCAGCTGGAGCACAAGGCGGCATTAAACAGCAGAAAGCTTCCCGTACATGCCAAGGTCCGTCTCTCTGCGGGGAGGCGACACGGCGCTGGTGCCCCTCCCCCACCTTTCAAGGCCAGACGAGTCATGGCGGTGGCAGGTGCAGGAAGAGACTTGGACTTAGCACAGATCAGAACATCCCTATTCGTTACAACTAATCAATTCCAAATCCCTGCTTGGTATTATTGCAAAGCGTACAGTACGCTCACTCTACTGTACCCTGTCACCGCACACACTGAACGTTACTTTTGCATCACACTGAATCAAGTACAGATTGTGGCCTTCATATGCCAGAAACCTGGAATCCCGATAATCGTACTTGAAATGACTTGAAAAGAGCTTATCAAACTGCCATCCTACTAATCTGGCAAAAAACGTTAGGGTCCAATCACGCTGGTCTCCAGCTGTCCCCCCTCCCCCTCCCTCCAGGGGGCTCATTAATAATCGCACGCTGGCCTAGTAGAAACATCTGTGATCTCCCTGCTCGTGTTGGCAGCGGGCATGCCACGCTCGTCAGATTCCGCCGTGCCCCAGTGCAGCGCTCAGCACCTTATCCAGTTCACCCAGAAGCCGACGGCGTCCGCAGTGAGAGCTCCCACATCCCTCCGAGACCGAAAATGCTGGCAGAGGCCAGCACAGCGAATGGTGGATGAATGAGTCATAGTTACCTTGGGTCAAGAGAGACTCCAGCAAAGTACATCTGCAGAGGGCCTGCGGTTCCCACTGAGCTGCGCTAGCAGAGCGACATGACCTCTTTCTACAGAATAGACTAATAAGCAAGACCCCACCCCAGCAGCTCAGCTCGCCAGCATCACCCGTGTTTTCCAAAGGCTGCTGCTCCCACAAGACGACGCTGCCGGCTCACTCACCTGAGAAGTCGCCCGGCAAGACATAGGGGGAGCAGGCAGCCTCTCTTTCAGTGTAAGACAATGTTGAATCGGACAGATCTGCAAAAGGAGACACGTCAAGTCGAATCAGGAGAGAGAAACATACTCTTCACTCCACAGAGCAGTGCAGTTATTATGGATCCCCGTGTCTGTTTTCAATACCTCTGGTGGAGGGGGGGAGGAATGGTGTAAAAATGTCTAACTTCTACTCTTTAAATTTGTAGCAAATGAAATCGTGATCAATAAATCCATTCTCTGGGGGGGGGGAATAGCACCTGGGCCAAAATATAGCTTTAATGCTCACCGTCCCAGCATGGGGTGAGTAAGTAACAGACCCTGGTACCCAAAACTCCTAGCAGTGTAACCATGAACCCAAGAGTGAGTGATAAATAGCAGGGACCCCTTTACCACCTGCAGCTGGGCTTTGGGAACATCTACAGACCTGAATGTCTTTATTCATTCAAGCATGGCAAAGCAAAATTGTCCGTCGACCCACACCGTGGTCGGGTTTCCCTATTTTATAGGTGCTGGATGTCTCAGGAAACCTGGTTCTCCATCACGCGGGGGGCGGAGCTTGGTGACCCACTCGGGACTTACCCAGTGGCTTGATCTCTTCAGTGGGGGACAGCCTGGAGTAGGGGGGTGGAGGCGACTCTGGAACAGAAAACACCTGCGTCAGGAACCACCATGTGTCCAGAGTCACAGACTAATGTCCCCTTAAGATGCGCCGATGTCGCAAGTGAGTAAAATACGGGGCTGAAGCCCACATTTCATGCAATGGACATTTCAGGTCCAGAAAGTAAAAATTCAGTCCAAGATTTTGTTTCAACCAAACAGTTGAGTGCTCTGACTATGGCTGTGACTCTTTGGCTGTGTCCAAATTCAGGGGCTGCATCCTTCAAAGGACGTGGTCTATGTAGCCTTTGTAAGCTGCGTCCTTTGAAGGTTGAATGTATCTTGGGATTGTGGCAAAAAAAAATAACGCGCTTCTAGGCTGCATTTGAATGCGCCTTCAAAATGGGACCTTGTCGCACCGCCGTCACATTCAGCCCTCCGACGCATCCTTAGGAGGTCGCAGCCCCTGAATTCGGACACAGCCTACATACTCAGCTGGTTGGTTGAAATAAAATGTTGGTCTGGATTTTTACTTTCTGGACCTGAAATGTCCACCTCTGGTCTACATCTGTAGATGTGTGATGAGAGACCCGCCCATCCAGCCACTCATTCTGGTCAAAGTTGTGAAAATATAATCATGCAAAAAGCAATGAAATGAAATGATGACAATAATCTTCTCAAGTTGTCCCGTTACGCACATCTACTACTAGGCTCTGCAAGCATGAAGCCACTCTACGGTCCCTGAATGTTTTATATGACATTTTTGGTACTTCAATAGCGTTATTAGGTTCTTGTTTTGTTAGACGCTCTTGTGTATCTCCTGCTCCAATACTGCTTACGCTGTACCTGGGCGGTCATCCTACTTACACTTAGTATACTCCTTGATTGCACATATGTTGATAATGTGCCATTTGCCTTACTTGTTACTTTGGATGAAAGTGTCTGCTAAATGTGTAAATGTATCTGCGTGACATCAACCATGTGACTGAAAAATACTGCAATGGAAAATTATGCAAGTGTTAAGTGAATAGGGTCAAGACACACAGACATAATCAGAGCCCGCAGCTAGCAGCCACCCCATAATACCTGCACCACAGTGCTCGGGTTTAAACAAAAACCAATGGGAGGAATCACAGCATCACAGATGGAAAACCCTTTGCCCAAGTTAAAATCAGGTGTCTGGAGCCGTCTCAGACTTCCTGTTACTCATGTAATGAATATAAAAGTGGCTGACAAGAGAAAAAAAAAATGAGTGCAGTACTCAGGGAAAACAGGCTGGCTGTTACTGCCATCTTTACAGCACCATTAATCGCAAAAACAGGAAAAAAGAAGGCAAAAGGTCCTCCTAGAAGTCGGGATGATAAGGCCAAGGTCTCCCTTATCACAGGTCACTGAAGATACACACTTTTCGAGTGCGTCCTAAGAATGCTGCACTGGAGTTTGTTTTTCAGATTATGATGATTCATTTGTGCATGAACTATATTTGGATGAACCGTACTTTCTCCAGGACATAACTGAGAAAACAGAGGCAATGTGGCATCGTTATGGTTTCAGTTACTGTCCCGAATGTGAGGGGACCTTCACTTCAATCAGCTGGGCTGGAATTTTCAACAAAACATACACAGTAAATAGAAGCATCTGAAAAAGGAACAGATTCTAGAGTAAATAATATTTACTGTTACCAAAAGAGAATATGCATGTTATTTACATGGATTTCTGCCTTTATTTTGCCATTAAGCTGCTATTAATGGAGTTATGAAGCAAAGCCAAACAAAAGTTTTAATATCAAAATGGGGAAGGACAACACCAGCAGGACTGCGCTAATCCTCCGGCTGCGTGAAGCACACGGCAACACGGAGACACACTGACCCATCTGCGGACTGAGTATGTCACCCTGTCACCATTAGCCATTTCAGCCGCCACTTTCCATTTTCCTTTACTACCAATCTCATTTTTCTGAAGTTGGTCAATAATATGACATTAGGAAATCTGCCTTGTGTTTTTGTTTTTAAGTCTTCTCAGCTTTCATGAGCAGAGCGTTATAGCCGGTTTTCATATTTTCGCTGCTGCAGTGCTGTGCTTTCTCTAGGACTGAAGACGCAACATTTGCCATTTCTCAAGTTTTGGTTCATAAATGGACACAAACATGAAGTCAAGAGGTCAAACAAACCACTGAAACAAACATGTTATCTGTGCGGCACACATTTCCCAAAACATGAGCATTCCAGTATATGAACCAAGAACCTCGTGTGCTCTGACTTGCAGCAGCCACATTTTTAATATTAAAAACTAAATACAAAGCAGAACTACTGGAGTGGCGCCAAAGGAAAACGACTGGGTTGTTTGGAATCAACTGTTTTTCACTATTCGTTTAGCTAACTTTTCATTATGAGCCAAATAATCAAATAAAAACACACAATAATAAAATGTAATTGAATATACTGCACTACACTCATTTGCCTAAACTTCCGTATACATCATAAACGATTCAGGGCAAGTGAATAGAGGCGAAGCACAAAGTGAAAATAATTCCGAAAGCAGAGAAACGCATAGTGAAAGTCAAAAGCAGGCAGTGACCTCGCCAAAGGACGGGCACGAACATAACAGGCGCGGCTTCTTTAAGAGCCGGGATCCAGGCTCAGCCGTTCAGATACACAGCTAGTCAGTCTGGCGCCAGGAGTATGCAAACTGTATATTATCACCACTCCTCCACCTAAATAGCATGAGGGGACCTCTTTAGGAAAAGGGGCTTTTAAAGCGCAGCTTGAAACTGATCTCATTTCAAAGGGATAATGCCTGGGCAAATAAAAGAAGCAAAACTTTAAGTCTATTTAAATCCGCGTTCTATTAACCTATCCGAGCTGTTTCGTGCATTTTTGTCGCTGCTGGATGCCTGTGTACTTCTCAAGATTTACTGATCAATAAAGAAAGCTAGACGGATAGATAGATAGATTGATTGATTGATTGATTGATTGATTGATTGATAGAGCCTGGAAACACCCACCCAGAAGCAGCTATGTAAAGTGGCGGGGATTTCCGAACGAGAGCCCTGGCCAGACCGTGCAGGGAGCGCTAACGACCTGCGGCCAGTGATGGTATGCAAACTACTGACCGGCGCGCAACAGTAGCAATAACGGGAAACGCGTGCAGCCTCCGTTAGGACAAGCCTGGGCGCCGAGGGTCCGGCTCCGCGCTCTCTGACTGCACGTGAAAAGGGCAACGCTGACGCTTTACGTACATCTAAATCCTTCTGGCGCTCCTAACCCACAGGTCATATCACATCACAGTACGTTTAATTTGCCAGTCGCTCCATTTTCCTCAACCGAACCAGTTCGTAATATGTTAAACGACATTTTAACAATCTGCATGGGGCAACTTCAGTTTACTACAAGCAATAAAAAAGTAATTTACTAAAAAACCTCGCACACGTAAGAGATACAATTTAAAAGCGCCCAGTGGTCGTTAAAGTTCGAATGGGAAACTAGTCAGTTGAACTTTTTTTGTCTTTATTAAATTAAAATTAATTTAAACCACAGCCCTAGACACCCGACCATTCCAAAGCTTATCCATTAGTTCATCTGAAATTATTAATTTCGCCTCCTTGCAGTCTATTTGACAGCTGGCTTTTAAGCATGAGTGCGTGTCACGGGACGGTCGCACCCCCGCAGCAGGGCGCCCGGTCCGAGACGGAAATCTTCGCCTGCCTGCCAGTACCGGGGAGAAGCAGGGTTACCGGCAGACCGATACTGCTGAAAGTCAAACTTCACCAATTTACAAATTTCACGCATAGATATTTGAAGCTTAGGATTCGAATCAATTCCAGGTTCACTAGGCCTATCAAATCCTTTCACGTTGCTTTTGAGCTTTAATAATATTTTCCACATTTATAGGATATTCTTAGAGTAGGACCATTGATGTATTACAAATGCAATAACGTGGAATTAAACTAGGCCTGTACTTCCACCGTAGTCGAAAAATGCCAAGGGTCTGGTTTAAACTGAAAACTACACTGTAAAACATTTAATGTCAGCTTTCCGGTCAGTACCACGCATGCCACCATTTTATAAATTCATTAGAAGAATTTTTACGCATATGACGCCATTAGCCGGGTTGAACCGTTCTTATAGTTAACACCAAAAATAAAGGTACATTTTATTTTCTAGTAAGGCACATAGCCATTGTAAAGACACTTGCAGCTGGACAAATTCCATAGGAAAAGCTTACGGTTACGTGCGCACTTTAGTAAACTTATATTCCCAGTAAGACCAGTGCATTTAGTTGCAGGACGTATTCAGCTCGATCAAGTACAGATGTGAGCATTATACTACTCAGATTTCAAAAGATTTATAGAAGAATAAGACGTGCACCAATGCGGCATATTTATGTGCTAACTTACAGTCGTTTGTTCCCGATGCTGCACATTTAAAGAAATTTAAACAGTTAAATAGCCTTTTAGGTTTTAAATGTACAGTAGGCCTATACGTTTTGACGATAGAAGAAGGGCGGATCGTGACCTGGTGGACTAGCCACTGCTGCTTCGGTCTCTTTTTATTTACAGTATTTAGTATCAAGTTTAATTTAATTGTTATTTAAATAACGGGTAAAGTTTAAATATTATAATTGAAATAAGTAGGCCTAGCCCATGTAATCACAGGCTTAACGCGTAATGCATGTTAGCCTATATAATCTCTCTAAATATTTAAGCTATAATGGGTGAACAGATAAGGCTACGGTTAGTCAAATTAATTGTACACATTTTTCTCTGTAGAGAGAACTGGTGAAATTATGATGGGCAAAAAAGCTGCACTAGCTGGTGTCTAGTTTTTTTTTTTTTACCGTTTGGTCGAGTTGTAAGGCTGGGTTTGAGTGAGAAAAGATAAAGACGGCGCTAATGGAGTTGCCGAAACAGCAGTCATAACAACTCAACTTCAAGTGAACGATGTAACGCCAGTAAAAGAAAAGGGCCGCGTCTTCTTCACAAGAATGGGCAGCTGTCATCATATACGGACGCTCCAAGAAGTCTAGTGCCGGCTGCGGAAAACAGCCCCCTGCGTTCATCGCTATATTTGAAGAATTACCCAGATAGATTACTCAAGGAAATCGAATAAGCAAGAGATCCACTCAGTTAAAGGATCAAGCGTTATGTTTTCTGACAGTTGATTTATTATTCTGTCTTCTAGATTCTTCATTTATACCAAAAAATAATACATCATTTTAGTCACTTTACGAGCAGTTGTTACTTCAGTTACCTTATTCAAATTATTTAAAAATCTTTTTTGGTACAGTGGTAATCTTTAATGCTAAATGTGTATACACAGCATTCAGTCTTGTGCACAAAATTGCATGTATAAAGCGTTGATGTTGCACCAAAACCAGCTGAAATAAACTGGCCCCTCGAATGCGCGTTTCCACCTTCTGCTGCACCTCCTTCCTAAGTAGGTTACGCTTCTACTCTGAGGAAATCAAATTTGCGGGTTAACTGTGTCCTTCAGGCTGGCCGCCGGCCGCAGACCGCGAGCCCGTCCAGATAAGGCCACTGCATCTTCGCCGTTACTGCGCAGTCACGACTCCCTCAAAACTACTCCATTCTGAAAATTCTCAACAAACCAAGTAAGTCTGTTTCAGTTCCGTCACATATAGCTTCAGTTTACTTGATTTTCATCACATATTCAATACAAGTTGACAAATTGCCCCTTTAAACTTAAATATTTAGCCTTGAACGTGCTTGAACGTACAACTTTTCACTCTGCACCCCAGCTGACTGATTTGATATGTGTTCTTAGCATGCGCTATCTTTTAGGATAATTACTAGCATATGTCAATATTGTTCTTGTATTCGCTTCTGAGTCGAGGATTGGCCAGGCTGATAAATAACAATACGCTGAACACATTTTGACTAGGCACTGAATTGGGTCATAGTTTTGATAGAGAACAAAACAGCGAACATTTCACACTTGCGAGAGGGATTTGGAAGGCAGACAGACATAAGGACACCGTTAGAATAAAGCAAGCAGTGATGCCCAAATGAATACCTGGACAGCAGAGGCGCATACATGAGACGCGCAGCAGTTTAAAAGGCATGCAATGCGACTGTATTATTTCTTTTCTACATACGAACGTATATGGCATTTATTCTGATAGCAGAGGAAGTAAAGGAGTTGGGATGGGGACAAACTGGAAAGCTCTACGAGTTACTGCAGGCTCGGACACAAGAGTTAAACAAGGCTGGTACAGTACAGTTTAGTTTTCCGTTTATCTAAGACACGTGTACAACAGAAGATGCTTAACTGAACCAAATCAACATGGCATCAATAAAAGGAGGTATTCTGTATCCAGTTGTCCACCTAGAATCAATCTAGGTTTTTCTGGTAATCGATTACAACAGGTTGTATGCTCATTCTTTTTTTGCATATCCACAATGTTTGATTTTATTACATTCCCATAGTCTATTTTAGCAATAAAAATCGAACCGTGTAAATAAGTCTTGCAACACATTAAATCTGCTCATGCTAATGTCAGAGGGTCTAAATGTTTTTTTTCCACTATCAGTAACTAATTGTAATTTTGTAAATCTGATCATTTACTGAATCTTCGCTTGAGAAGCGATCAAGCATCTCCTCTTCATGCCACAGTAGTCATTACCATGGTACTGCGAAGGACTTCAACACGCGACAAGGATCGAGCGCAGATAAAACTTTGCGATTGTCTCTAAAAACTTAATCCGGAAAGATTCCCGCTCACGGTCAAAAACAGCTTTAATATAAACTATATGTCAGGCGACGCATTCGATAGTAATAGGAACAACATACTCGACTTCATCTAATTGAGAAAATTACCCGAAATTTCCGCCGCACTTGCAAGACCCCGGGACGCAGAATACATGAACTTACCTGGGCCACACAGTCGGCTGTAATGGTAGGGATTGCAGCACACCGTCGGACTATCCGAAGCCCCATAGCTCTGGCACTCGCAAAGTGGTTTGAGTTGGGCCGTGTGCTGAAGGTCGGACCAACGGTAAAGCTTACAGAGAAGCAGCTGAGGTGGTGCCATATGGCCACCCAGCCGCAGCTCTGTCCGCGATACCATAACACAATCGCTTGGCATCCCCCCTTTAGATTCCACGGCCTCCAAAAGGGTATCCAGCGGCTTTCCCTTTAGCCTTTTAAACAAGGAATAGGTGGCGGTTTTAAGTTCCTGCTCAATGACAGAGCGCTGCTTTGCCTCCAGTGCTCCCGGAGAAGCGGCGTCCTGAGAGCCGTGGTTCCTCAGCATGAATTGGCATGAAGCAGGTTCTTTACCCCGAGCCGTATCTGGCGTTCTGGGTTCCGAGTGTTCCCGGTCTTTGAACAAACAGCACGTCACCGTTCTGTATTCATTCTCCGGTGCCGATCTGGGACTTCCCTCTTCCATGAGACACATGGCACCCCCATCTTGGTCCAAAATGTCCCCCGAGCCGCCACTCTCTGATGGATATCTGGTGCATACTTCCTGAAGGTTCTCCACAGTCGAACCTCCTCGGGTCACCGGTCTGAGCTCCGTTTTGGAAATCTTTTCTGGGTTATTGCCGCACAGTTCGTTCCGACTCCCTTCGCTGGTTTTGCTACTTCCATCGCCCCCCTGTCTATCTGGAATCAAACGGCTTCTCCAGAGTCGCCGCACAAGACCTGAGCGTTTCGACCTGAACATACGACAATTTATAAATCTAGAGTTTGTATTCTTGTTCAGATCGGAGTGAATTACAAATTCTTTTATGGTCGTCGTACAACATAAATGGTTTGTAAATGCCGTGCAGTGCATGCACAGCCGAATGCTGTATATTTGCGGCCAAACAGCAACATTAGATTAGGAGCTAAAATAATAAACGGCATTTAAAAGGAAAAGCGTCCCAAAATGCAATACCACATTGAAATCAAAATGCATAAAACATAATATTCTATTCCCTGGGACAACAGAAAACTTCTTTGTACTCCAGCTATTACACACAAAACTGCATAAAGCATTAACCGCGATTCTCAAGCGATGTTATAAGTATTTGCACCAGCGACTGAAAAAACTACGCGAATGTAGCCTGTAACCGACTAATAAACAGCAGAGATCGATCACTCTGCGCTTCCGCTTTGTTTCTGGACTTTGGAACACCTTAAAAATTTTCCTTTTAAAGCAGCGCTCGACACATGAATGGAACTGCTCCGCTGTGAATTAATCCCAAGAAATTCCTTTCAGAATTCACAATCCCATTGGTTAGTCACCATAGTAAAGCATTCGTGTAGAATTCCAACGTATTATAGTATGAAGACTGCTGACGAACAATCCTTAGGCTCAGACGTGCGACTGACCCCGTGTTCAGATCTGGTCACACAGCAGCCTGGGTTTTCTTTCCCCGTTTCTCTCTTTTTTGTGAAACACACACATACACACGGGGCCCCCGAGGATAGCTAAGGAGCCATTGGCTGACTCTCATCATGTGCTAGTCTAGACACTTTGGCGGCTGTGAGCTGCACTGATTGTTGCGCAAACAAGGTTTCAAGTTTCTTAACTCTTAAAGGCGTAACATTCACCTCTTCCCTTCTCTGTAATAGAAATTTACGGAGGAAATCGCTGTCCCAGGTAAATAGCAGGTTGAAAAAACTATGAAAATGACATTTTACTTAGAGTGATTTTCATTTTTAATTTTTTTTTTCCTAGTTTCAAAGTAAACTTTTTTAATCCATGTGTTGGACAACAAAGTGAATGCATCGTACAGTAACCAAATCCTAGGAATTGTACCCCCCCTCACACACACACACACACACACACACACACACACAACGGCTTTGCAGCCCTGCCACGGGGAGCACGTTACCTGCACATAAGGAATTTTTGTCCGAGCGGGAAGCCCACAGAATTCCATAGAATGACCTCATGACGCACTGGGCCCCTCATTTGTGAGCGAATTCCAGCAATATACACCCACCCAAACGTATAGGGTCGTGCACACTGGATTGGGCTGTATTAATTTTTGACGTCCTTTTTTTGTATCTCTCGTCACTTGTGCATAGTTTAATTAAGCACAATAAATAAATATACCAGTTGGCCAGGTACAGTAGAATTTTTAAAGTAATGAGATAACAACTGCTAAGTCTATAGCATTTTTAAAGTAAAGTACTTATCGACTGTAAAAACGAATCCAATAAATCCAACTTCAAACTTTCTTTATATATACAAGACTGCGTTGCAAAAGTTACATCACAATTGTGATTTTATGTTATATCGAATAGAACAAAAATGCAACAGACGTAGGTGCTACTAGCACAAGCATGTGTACAGCAGGATTATATAAATATATATATATTGCTTCAGCGAATCGGAACTTGAAGAGTTAATGAGCTTTCAAGTGGAGTCAGTGAGGCGGGGCCACGCCCCCCGATGTCTTAACTTGCTCAGAGGAGCAAAAGTTCAGGAATGAGGTCCGTCGATTGGCCTTCGAGTCCACATGTCTTACCCCCCGAGACAAGGATTGGTCAAAAAAAGAAAATAGACGCGCCCACTACAAATCTATGATTGACACTGAATGAAAGAAATTGCCCTCTCTTAAGCATATTGTCAACACTAGGCGCTCAGTGCTTCGGGCATAGAAACACAGGGTCAAATATAAAGAACGTTTGGATAGTGAAGCTATAATAAAAATGTGATTTTTCAGTAACTATTAAATACGTTCAAAGTAAAAATAGCAGAGTAACTGAAATGTACTGAAGTTGGCAATTGTTTTTAGTGTAAGAATGTGAGGACTTACACAACATGTTTTCGACATTTTCTGTTATCTTTTTGATATATTATTCTCAGTAAATTTGACTTTGAGCAGATTTTAGCAATTAAATTGTTATCTAATAAATTCAGTAGATTGCACACATTTTTTTTTTTCAGGCAAGGATGTTCTGTACAGTGTCAGTGTGAAGTAAGTGTTCAGGTCCAATTGTGTTTATATGTTAAGAAAAATGACTGTGATGGCTCAGGCACTAAGTATGAGGTATTTTAATTTTAATTACAAGAACAGCACAATGCAATCTTCACCCTGCATTCCCATCGGAATGGACCCCTCACATAGCCACCTAACCCTCCTAAAACCACCCTATCCCCCAGCCATAAGTGTAAAGCCTACAGCAGTGCAGCTACACCTGCAGAATGGAGAAGCTCATTGATGGAGCCCAGGGGAAGCCTCTCAGTCTGGGATACCTGTATAAAGTATGCTACCCAATTTAACATTGACGGAGACTCCTGATCTACTGTTGACAGTTACCAAGGAAGAAAGCAGAAAGTTTAAAAACAAAACGTATTACAGTGTTATGATGAGCGTCATTAGTGGAATATCATTCAGTGTTTTTTGATTTTCATTGCTGTTTCTTTAAGCCATGATAAGAATGAAAACGGGCTCTTTTATTAAGTGTATACATTTTTATTAATTTGTTACTATAAGTGATGGTGCGGATCTTACCAAGCTTACAGCCACAGTGCAGGCACACTGTGGCTCTGTGGGCAGAGGTTCAGCCAAATAGGTGAAACGTTTGATCCTCAGCCACATGTCACGTTCTCTGTCGGCTTGTGTGGGTTTCATTAAGGTCCTCTGACTTTGTCACTCATGCAGCTCAAGTACATCAGTGACCCCAAATTGCCATTATTAAATCTGTAACTCCTGTTCAGCAGGCTAGTGTCCCACCCAAACTGTTGGTCACCCTATTTTCAAGGGGTTCCAGCTTCTTACTGCCCTAATATTGATGCATAGTGAATGAACAGCTAGAGAAGCAGTCCCATGGAAGTGTTACCTGACTCATGCTACATCATCCTTATAAAATATATCATATGCATGCAGGTTAATAATAAATACATTTTTTGAACAGCTAGTTTCATAGGCTTCCTCCAGAAATGCTGGCTTCTTCCCGCAATCCAAAGACATGCATTTAGGTTAATTGGTGTGCTGAAATTGTCCTTTGTGAATGATTGTATGAGTGTAAGTGTAAATGTGCCCTGCAATGGACAGGCATCCTTTCCAGGGTGTGCTGCTGCTTTCTGCCCTGTGCTGCCATGGATAGCGGACAGGTTCTCTGTGTCTCTGACCAAGATAAGTGGGTAGGAAATGGATGGATGGATGGATGGATGAATGATGGATGGATGGGTGATTGATGGATGGATGGATGATGGATGGATGGAAGGATGATTGATGGATGATGGAAGGATGGATGATGATTGATGGATAGATGGATTATCACACAATTTTACAGATGGATGGATAAATTCATAATAAACTGTGTGTTTATATTCATTAATTCTTAAAGCATTCTCTGTCTTTAATATTTTAAAGTATTGCACTGCATTATGCCGTAAGGAAGGCCTTGCAGTGAGCTAATCCACATTGATATCTTCACTGTGTAGCTTTAGGTATTCAGGGATGGTGATACAAACATGTAATTGTTAGTTAGGGATTTAAGAAGTCGTGACCGTAGCCTCTGGGCCCTCAATAGGATAAGCGGTTACAGAAAAAGGATGGATGAATGGATGGGTTTAAAGCAGGGCACCTTCTTTGTTACCACGTGCCTCTGCAGATAACTAATTCATATACTAATAGTCACACCAGCAATGAAGGGCAGTAATTTAAAGAAAGACGACAATACAGGCAAACTGCATTTGTGGCTCAGCGTGGATTCCACCATGAATGTGCTGTTTGCCAGGATAAACATGATTTCCTTTGGTATGAAAAAGACAGACACATTTTACAGGTACAGTATGGATAATGTACTACTACTGATGCTACTTCCACCAGTAAACACAGATTGAAATTTCATCTTACTGAGTAACATATGCCGTCACCAGGACAAAGGGGGCTTAGAACTCATAATATGAAAGCTAGGGCTTTGTAGGACTGAAAATATGGGTAATACAGAAGATAACGACTGTACAGTGAAAATCGGGAATCCTAAATGCTGAGACATTAACAAGACCGACTGGGAAGGTGCAGACCCCTAGAACAGCTTATGTGCATCTTACACAAATGCCACTGAAGCTCATATTTTCTCCTGTGATTTCATTTATATTGTTCGCTCAGTAGATTGTTTGAGAAAGTGAATGACATCCTGGCTTAGAGATTAGTTTAATGTAAAGTCTCCATTTTGGATATAAGTTTTTGTGTGTGTGTGTGTGTGTGTTAAAAAATATATTATATATTGTGGGCATCTCTTCTTGTTCAGGTGCTCTGTGCATTAAACCAAAGCATTTGAAGAAAGGTTTATGTGTAATGGCACTAAAATAATTTCCTTTTATGATGCATAAACTTTCCCTAATTGTTTTGTCATTGTTAAACATGTGAAAAAACAATAGAACAAATTATGTTTTGTATGATATTGCAAGTAATCGGTAATAATACGTAATATGATGAAAAGCCTAACTCCAAACCAGCAATCTATCACGCAATCATGAGGTGCTGTTTTCTGTCGGAGCAAGGAAGTGCTGAATATTTGCAGAAAATATAAATGTGAAGGGTGAGTGAGCTGTAAAGGGGAAGAGAGGGGGAAACGATCTGGTAATTGAAGACATTTTGATGAATTTGGTTGTGTAGGATGGAGGCTATGTGAGCTTTGGCATGTGTGCCATCCTCCCTTTGCATTATGGGAAATGGGCAGTGCTGCAGGGCTGTGCTGTCATTAGAGAAGCCACCGATGGCATTCCCAGCGTCATCCCATTCTCACACGTGGCGAACCTTGGCGCAGGCAGGCGCCACCCTTCACACCAAATCCCACATTGTCTCGACCACCCCCCACTTCCCGCAGCTCCGCTGCCCCTGCCAGACTTAACGTCCAGGTGGTTTAGTGACTCCACGGGTGAGTGACTCCACGGGTGAGTGACCCCACGGCGTCGCATGGGGAAGCGGTGCTTCACTCCCTGGTGCGGTGGTGTGGCTCCGCGGAGACTGGGGCGGGGGTAGTCTGCGATACCTGGGAGGGCCTAATCGTGGTGGGCGTGGTCTGCGATACCTGGGAGGGCCTAATCGTGGTGGGCGTGGTCTGCGATACCTGGGAGGGCCTAATCGCAAACCGCCAGCTCTGTGTTTTTATCACTGAGGTTCTCGCTTAATTACATCTCCATGGACAACTGGAAAAATTTCTGCTATGTGCAATATATAAGATACAGAAAATCAGCTCACATTTCCGTATCATTTACATCATTATATCAAGTCCGTTGTACTTTTTTGCACGTCTGGAAGAATCACTGTTACTACATGAGCAAATAAATAAATGGAAACATATACTTAACTTTTATTCGGCCTATAATGCTGAGATTATATTGAAAGATTCCATGTTGGTGTTGAGGAGTCGTCCATTGGGGGCTGTTTCGCCACAATCAGCCTCTTCATTGCTGAAGCTCAGACTCTGTGTCTGTCCAGCTGTCTGCGGTTCCTCCCAAATTCCCATTGGTTACCGACAGCATTTCTTTGGAGATCAAG